TCTGTTTCCCTTCTGCGACCCCCCTCAGGATCTGAGCTCGTCAAGATGGCGATCTCCGAGATGGTGAAGGGCGGCTGTGAGGAGGTGATGTTGGAGGCGGAGGTGGTCAACACGGGGGCCCTGAGGCTGTATCAGGGACTGGGTTTCGTGCGGGACAAGCGACTGCACAGGTAGGTGTGCGGGGGGAGGGTGGGAGAGTGAGCAGTGAAGTGAAGAACGGCGGGGAGGGAGGGGTGCCTACGTGGATGAGTAAGTAAGTGAGTGAGTGAACGGTGTGATGGGTTTTAGTGAACGGCATCCGTCACCGGAGCAGCAGGGGGGTCCTGACCTCGGAGGGTCACCAACACGACCACCAACACCGCACCGCGACCACCGCGACCACCGAGCGCCGCCGACTTCCCCCTAACCCCCCCTCCCCCCCAGGTACTACCTGAACGGTGTGGACGCCTACCGCCTCAAGCTGCTGCTGAAGCTGTCGGAGGCCAGGTTGGCGGAGCCGGCGGCGGCGGCGGAGACAGGAGGCGACGGAGGCGCGGAGGTCGCGACGGATATGATTGCATGACTGGAGGCCCCGGCCCCTGGCCCCCTCTCGTACCCTCGAGTGCCCCTTCCCGGCAGTGGCGACCGCATGTCGCCACAGTTATAACTGGCGAACGACCTGGGTGTCGACGTGCCGCTGCACGCTGTCTTTCTTGAGTAGATATTAATAGTCATGATGATTATGGTGATGACGGTGATGATGATGTTGGTGATAATGATGAGAGATATGCAGCTGGTTGAGGAGGTGGAATGGGAGGAAGGGGAGCGTAGGGAAGGTAACGGAGCGACGACCCATTGAACCCGATGTGCTATGTGAGTGTGGGGTGTGGGGAGGTGTACGGAGTAGTCCCACGTGGCCCCTCTGGCCGAGATGAAAGACACACGGTGGGGGTGGTACTGGTGGGGGTGGGGGTGGTACTGGTACTGCTGGTACTGCTGGTGGTGGTGGTGGTGGTGGTGGTGGTGGTGGTGGGAGCTATCGCGAGATGAGCCGCAGCCGCCTCCTCCCCCCCCGGCGCCGCTGCGGTGCTTAGGCGGTATTTCCAGTCATGGTGAGGTCGGACAGCATCAGTACGGCAGTGACGGCACGGCAAACAGCTAAAGCCCTAGGGACCCTGAGAGGGCGCTAGGGGTCCAGGGGGGGTGGAGAGAGGCTTGTTCAGTGGGGCGTTTGCGGCGCTTGCGTTGTTCAGACCCTCCTCCTTGAGTCACTGCGTCCCACTTTGTGGCGCTGGTGGCGGTGGGAAGTGGGAAGTGCCGCCCCAGTGGGGCCGCGTCCGTCTTTACGTGCGAATGCTAGAGATGTCTTGCATGACACCTCAGCCGGGACGCAGATGTAGGTGATGGTCTGATGACATTTTCCTAATTTGGCTATACGAGGGTGCAGCACCGGGAAAGGGACATTGCCTCATTGCTACATTGCCGTACTGCGGCAGCACCACTCCTGTATTACCAAGGTGAAGCAAAAGAGCGAAGACGGCCCCCGGTGGGCCAGTTCCCCTCCAGCCCCCGGTCCCGTACCTTACCTTCTCCGCCACCGGAAACGGAAAATAGTGAGTGTGTGTGTGTGTGTGTTTTGGGGGGGAATGGGAGCAAACGATTCCAAACAGCGACGATGAGTATCGACTCCCGACTCGCACCTCACCTCACCCACCCGGGTGCTTCACCCGCAGCGGGCCACTCACCACCCGCAGCGGGCCACTCACCACCCGCAGCGGGCCACTCACCACCCGCAGCGCTAGTGTGCTATGTTCAGCGGGCGGCAGGAGGAGGAGAAAGAGGAGGTGGAGGGAAGGGTGGGGGCGGAAGGAGGAGCATGATGGCCGCACGCGAAGGAAGGGGAAGAGCGGTGGGCAGGCAGCTAAGAGATGGTTGTCGGGCCACGTGTCTCTGTGTGTGTGTCTGTGGGGGGGGGGGGGACAGCGGCGAGCGGGGCGAAGCTCTTGGCGGCGCGGGGAGGAGGGGACTGGGCCGCGACAGCTGGGGGGAACGAATCGCACAACAACAGCCGCACGTGAAACAAATGGACTTGCGTACATTATTATATTTCACCCTATTATCTTACACTTACACCGAGTCACATACAGACAACACACACACATACTTTGGGAGCTGAGCATGTCACCCTTGATACTTCTTAGGTCGGGGTATAGGACCTTTGTATGGCCGTTGGTAGTTAATCGGTCGTGAAGGAAGGCTGTACCCAACAGTAAGCATCCTGTGCTTCATGTCAGGAATGGCAAACAGTTTGCCTAGCATCATTCTGCAGGGCATAATATCCAGAAGGGCATTGTGGAGCTGAATTTCAATGTGGAAACAAGATATGTCTCCGAAACCTGCCGAAACCCTAGTCCGTTCCCGAAGCCCGCCAGCTGTTGTCAGCCAGTCACCAATCCGGTTGTTTAATTAAATGATATTTGAAAAGAATTAAAGATAGATATTAGCAGAAAAAGTATTTGAGGATATTATACACATAGCGGTTTATTTTGTGCGGGAGCGATAGACTATGGCATGGCCCCGCCTGTGGCCTCGGCCACGGCCTTCGGTGAGCTGCCGGCATTCTGATTTGCTACTGCTCTTGTCTATAAAGGTGGCCTCCCACATGGGCTTATAAAACAAACGAACGCCATGCCAATCGTCAGCAAGTTGCTGTTGTCCTAAAAGGAGTATTGGCTTCTTACAGTTCTGCGATCTTGCTGGTTATAACTTTTACTTTTCACGGACATATACCTGTCGTCTGATTATAAAAATTGAAAAGATTGTGGATGATGGACTGGTATACATCGCGCGCTGATCAGTCGTACTCATTACTAGTAGTACGAATGCTTGCTGCGGCCGTAAGTACAGCACGCTAGCCTCTTTTCGTCAACTACTTCTTCTAAATATGATGCACATGAACCTCCTATTTTGATTTACACTGGTCAACTCAGCATGGCAGCATGCTTATGCGTTACGTGCGTCACCTGTGACGAAACGCAAAGAGCAAGTCGAACCCAATAGCGCGATTAGGCGCTTATAAGTGGGGAACGTTCTATGTAGCCTTATGTCTCTTATTTCAGACGGCAAGCCCCTGGGGTAACTCGACTGTCAAGGTAGACATTGCCTTTCGGCAGGGTGAGAGACGCTCGGCTGAAGTAAAACAGCGAACATGGCCTAACATTGACTCCAGTGGACTCTGATTTGATACTTTATCCCTGTACATAAGTTGATATTAACCTGGCAACGCAGCGCAACGGATGGCTCCTTCCGACGTGGTTTTCTGGAACTCTCTCAGCGACGTGGCCTGGAGCTATTTGCTGAAGCAGCTATCATGGCGCGATATCGGGCACACCCGGTAAGCGCGGGGCCTAACACGCTTGCCAAATGCTGCGGTGGGCGGCATACTGCCGCTCGACCAGTAAGTAAGCCAAGCTGGCTTTGCCATTCTTTCCTATCCCACATATATATAGTTTACCATCAGCAGTTGTTTAGTGGCTGACACTCTTGTCGGCCGTGCCCATCCAAGCTGGGCGCATTCGCATCCCCAGCCCTACCTCCTTCCGTCCCGCTGTCCTGATGTCCTAAGCCCACCATCAAAATATCCATTTAGCAACCACGGCAGCCCAACTTCTCGCCCATCCCCCACCGTCACATTCACAGTCACCGCAGCCACCCATTCACACCTATCACCTATCACCCTTCCCTTCCAATGTCCCCCGACCTCCCCCTGCCAGGGCTACCTGCCGCTGCTGGCGCCGGGATGTTGACCGCTGTTTGCACCGCCTGCATCTGCGAGATCCAAGCCCCGATTGCCTCACCCACCTCGGCAACACCTTCAGCCGCCTCGCCGCGGTTAAAGTGACCGCCCTACATCAACGGGACGATACACGGCTGGACGAGCTGCTGGAGCTGCCGGGCACACTGGGGCGTGCAGGCGCGCTGCATCTGCGCAGCAAGCGGCCGGGGGGGTTCCTGCTGGGGGTCGGACAGCTGCAGCTGCTGCGCTCCGCTGGACCGGTGTTGACGGTGCTGTGCCTTCGCTGCTGTGACGTGACGTCTTGGGCCGGACTGGAGGTGAGCGAGGGAGGCTACGGAGGGGTGCGAGTGTGTGTGGTGGTGGTGGGGAAGCTGCCCAGGGAAGGAACCGGGGCCCCGGGGCAGGTGGACCAGTCAAGCCACTAATTCTGCCATTTCCACCACTCGTCCCACCCCCCTTGGTGTTCCTCTCCCCACCGCGGCGAACTACTGAACCACTGACGGATCCCGGAGCTCGCCGTGAGGTGTACACAGCAGCAGCCCGTCAGTGTGTAGTACCTTCGTTACTTTGTAGCACAGGTGGTGCTGGTACTCAGGGTCTAACGTTAACTCAGGTTCTAACTTACCGAGTACAGTACTCATGCGTGTAAGAATGGATCATCGTTTGCAAGTTGCTTTTCCTTTGTGCGGAACAAAAGCGAAACTAATTGTCACTCTTGAGTCCCCCCAAGCAAGGGGGGGGCCCCCCTGACTGACCGGAACAGCCTCGCCTCGCCACCTGTGGCCCCCCTCCAGGATCTGTCCCCTGTCCCGGGGGGCGCCATTTCGAAGCAACCTGACCTTCCCTCTCCTGCCATCCCTTCCCCTGCCCCTGCCCCCCCTCCCTGCCCCCCTGACCGCCCCCGCAGGCCTGCCCCCACCTGGCGCACCTGCAGTTGATCCACTGCCGCTTCTCCGAGTCCGCCTCCGCGGGGCTCACGCGGGCTCTGGGGGGACTGCGGCACCTCACATCCCTGGAGCTGAGATGCAGCACCACCGCCACCACCACCATCACCGCCACGAGCAGGGGCAACAGACGACTTCATTATCAACAACATCAACAACATCAACAACATCAACATCATAATCACAATCACAACCAGCAGCAGCAGCAGCAGCCGGACCCCCACGTCAGCCGCTCCCCGCAGCACCCCCCACACCATATGCCCCAGTTAGGGGGTCTGGGTTGCTGGGCCCCCCGCCTTGCCGTACTGCGGCTGGCGGGGGCGATACCCGACGTTGCGCTTCAGGGGCTGCTGAAGGGGGAGCTGCCCAATGTACGACATGTGAGCTGCTGGGGTTATTGTTCCGAGGGGTGTCTCCCCCGGGGGGTTTAGGGGGTGGGCTAATGAAGGGGGGTGCTTCCCCGACCCGACCCGAAAGGGGTGGGGGGGCCTGTCACGTCGTTTCGGGGTCGGGGCTGACGAAGTCGGGGGGGGGGGAAGAGACAGGTACCAGGGTGTGTGTGTGGCCACCTCCTCAGCTACTACCGACCGTGGGTATACCAACCAAAAAAGCCTCAACACTGGAAAACCCCGCTGTTGCCCGTATTAGTCTCCCGTCTGATTCAACGCCGTCCGCCGTCCGCCCCTTTGGCTGTCACCCCTTGGTCCCCTAGCGTCCGCGTCATCGTAACATTTTCCCCCACGTACACCCGGCCCCCTTTCGTGTTTGCAGCTTAGAGAGCTGGACTTGGAGCTGCACCCCGCAGCCACCAGTAACGCCGCCACAGCCACCGCCGCCGCTGACGGTGTTGCCGACGGCGCCCCTCTTAGCAGCGCTGTGTCGTACCGTGAGCTGGCGGCGCTCCTCCCCGCCATTTCCATGGCAGCCCCCCACTTGACGTGTCTGCGAATAAAGGGACATAGCCGGCTGCAGGACAGGTACGACTTGTACGGGCATGAGGTGCTGTACGACTTTTGTTGCATTATAGTAATACAGGACGCGCGAGACGCGCAGGAGAGAAGCTGTTAGTTAGCTGTTAGTTAGTTATCTGGTTAGTTAGGAAAGGGGTTTTGCCAATCCAGCCGGGCCGTCTCAGGGACGGTGCACCTCCTCCCCGCCCCCAGGAGTTCCCCTTTCCTTTGTTGTTGGCTTCATCGTGTATGTGGTTTTCCCCCTCCCCTCCCCTCCCCTCCCCTGCCCTGCCCTGCCGCACAGAGATCTTCATCTGCTGCAGCCTCTACGGCACCTACGACATCTCTCCCTGGACCTGACTAGCCGACCTGAGCTCGCAACCCCCCCACCCCCACCCCCGCCTCCGCCCCTGCCAGCTCCCGCAGCACCAGCTGCCGCTCAGCTCCCGCACCAAGGGCTCCATGTGAATTGGGGGGGTGCGGGAGAGGAGATGGCAGCCGGCCAACTAGTTGGTGCAGGGGACGGGGCCGGGGGCGGTGCAGCAGGAGGAGGAGGAGGGCGCGGTGGCTCCCACCCCCAGCTCCCCCCGGCTCCGCTCTCCGGTGCCGGTGTGGGGGCGCTGCTGCGGTCCTGCCCGGGACTGCAGTCTCTGTCCCTGGCCCACTCAGTGTGGAGCGCGGAGGGGCTGAGGGCCCTGGCGGGCAGCACAGCCGCCCTCACACAGCTGCGGCTGGCGGGAGCGGAGCTGCCCAAGGTGCGTGTGTGTATGTGTATGTGTGTGTGGGGGGGTGGGGGTGGAGGAGGGGGGAGGAGGGGGAAGGAGGGAGGGGATGCCTGT